TCAAAATAAACAGATAATTTTGCATTCGAGCTTGTTGTCTTTTAAAAACTGCATTCGTTTATTTTCACATTGGAACGAAAAAGCCCTCCTCCTTCGGAGTCACAATGTGAAAATAAACTCATGCAGTTGTTAGACAACAAGCTTTCATGCAAAATTATCGGTAATTTTGAAGCACTTGTGCAATTACCCCCGATAATATTAAAAGCATTTTGATTATAGTATTATTCTAACAGAAACATATTTTCTTAGGTTCGAGTTGTGCAAAATCTAGTCGATGGAGTACCTTACGCTCCTGATATTCGCAATCTCCAGAAAGAGCGAGTCCATTTGCTGGAACAATTGGAGGAATGTCCCAGTTCGGGCGATGAAATAATCAGTCCGAAGAAAAGACTGAAGCTGGATCTGCTCGACCCGACTGTAGGCGATGTCATCATTGAGGCGAATCGTGATCACAACCGAAAGGTAAAGGTAATGTAACATAGCAGGGAGTTTCTATGTTCGTTTTCCCACCGGTGATTGTGATAATAGTAAATGTGCATTTGGCAGCTTGGCCAGAGCTTAATCCATCTTGCCATGATCAATTCCACTTCTTTTCATTGTGGATGATTGTTGTTTAAGACTTTCTTCTGTTGCAATCTTGTTTTAGTCACAGAATATAGATTTTATGCGTAGATTAATTTGTGAATCACTAAAAACGCAAAGTAATGAAGGTATCCGTTACTTCAGGTTCCTCTAGTAACAAATAGTTACTGTTTTACACACCCCTCGTGTTTCCATTTTAAGTTTGAAAATATTCGACTTCTATTTAGTTGTAGATAAGTTCTATATTGTTGAGGCGGATTCATTTTTTTACAAACTTCTTGTTGGGTATTTCGTCTCAAAAATTTTTGTCTTTAAAAAAGACAGAAATTCCTCACGTCTTTTATGTAGTTTATGTAAATAATGTACTTTTATGTAAAAAGTAGTCAAGAACTATCACCTAGAGGGTATCCTGCGACACACTTAGGCTCAAGCTGTAAGAGAAAATTCCAATTAGTAGAGCAATTAATTTGAAAAATTACCTTGACGTTT